ACAGTTTACCATCGTTAGCCACGGTTTACCATCGTTAGCCACGGTTTACCATCGTTAACCACGGTTTACCATCGTTAGAGTCCACCATGAGTCCAACAGTTTGAAGACGTCTGTCAGGTCTGAGCTAAGAAACTTCTCTACAAAGAGGTTTTTCTACGAAACAAGATGATTTCTGTGGCTTCATACAAACTTTAATTAGTAATCCATCCATCCATCCATCATCCATCCATCCTCCAGTCTTTAGACTGGTCCAGGTTTAGGATGAGCTCTGCTCCTCTGAAGTCCTGGACAAACCTGGTTTGTTCAGTGGAATGAAAATCTGGTTACAGTTTTTGTTTCTGATGTTTTTGTCACAAACAGAATTTGTAGATTTGTTTGAGGAACGTGTGTGAACACAAACAGAATCTGAATTCCTCAGACTGAATGTGTATTTGCAGAATGTGAAAGTCCAAACATTGGTTTGAAAAAGAATTTCACTAAAGCTGTAGTAAAATCTCCGTTAGATCATTTCACTTTTACTTCTTTAAATCAGTTCCAGAACTCAGTTTCCTGTCCCACATCCTGGTCCTTCAGAAAGCCAGACTAATCAAACACAGATCACATGGATCTGTTGTGAGACTTGATTTTTGTCTCAGCACTGTTTCAAACTAACAGTTGKTCCAAAACCTGCTGAGATATCTGCTCATCAGGGATGGAGGGCTCCAGACCGGTCCTGGTCTCAGGACCAGAGGTCTGGACTCCATCCCTCCAGCTGCAGCTGGATGAGCTGGTCTCCAGGAAACCTGGAGCAGGCATGTCCAAGTGCAGTCCTGAAGGACGGTGTCCTGCTTCATCACGTCTCATTCAGCTACATGCTTCACTTCCTCAGTTTGACGTCCAGGTCTGCAGAGACCCTCTACTGAAGACCTCCTTAGGTTCAGCTGTGTTGAACCAGGGCAGCTCCTAAAACCTGCAGGACCTCAGGGTTAGGACCCTGGTCCCTGAGGACTGACTGAACATAGAGACAGTGTCTAACCTGCATCCAGCAGCTGTCATGTCAGACACAAGTCTGTCCATGGGTCTGTGTCTCTGAAGGACCAGGATGTGGGACACAAAAACTGAATTTAAACACAACAAGTTCAGATTCTGAACTTTAAATTCAGTTTCACATCAACAGATTCAGTCTGAACCCATCAGCTTCAGTTTCTGTTGGAACTGGTTTCTTCCTGCAGGTTTGGACTGGGTCAGAACCAGGTCCTCTGGAGAACCAGACCCTGTGTTCTGACATATGGTCCAGACTGAACCCAGAACAGGACCACGTGTGGCCCGGTGTCAGTCTGGTTTACAGAGGTTCTGGGACAGGTTGGTTCCAGGTTTACTCTGGTCAGTCTGGTCCAGGTCCAGACCCGTTTGTGACTCTGAACTTGGACTTGAAAGTCTCTCATCAGAAACAAAAGTCTGAAGAGCAGCTGAAGGTCTGGGGTGGTTTTGGAGGGGGTTCTGGGGGTCCGACAGCTGCAGGCTTTGGTGTGTTTGTGTTGTTCAGGATTTGGGGGTGTGTTGTGTCTGGATCCACTTTTGTTGTCTTTATTGTTGTCTTTTATGCTTTAGATGTCGGGGGTGGGTCTGGGGTGGGGGGTGGTCTGGGATCTTAGGGGGTGTCTGGGGTTTTAGAAAGTCTTGATGCCATTAGTCCATCAGCTGGGGGTGGGATGGGATCAGACAGGGTCTGGTGACATCATAGACTGGGTGATGGGGTGGGGGGTAGGTGTGTGTGTGTGGGTGAGCCTGGATGGCATTAGCTCCTTGGCAGGGCTGCTTGTCACGGGGATGCCACCCAGAAGC